GTTGATGTGGTATTTTATAAAGTATTATTTATTAGTTGTTACTCACTTGATTATTGAGCAGGTAAAATGGCGCTAGTTAAAAAGAGTTAAAAAGGTAACAGATTCACAGAGTTTAATTGGTTGTCTTCTCCAGTTAAACATGAATGCAACATTGGGATCTGTTATCTAAAAAGAGACAAAAAAAAAAAAACCTTGACAATAAACTGTCATCACACTGTTATCTGCAGAGTGAGCAGGATGAGAACATGATCGAGATAGCTGGAGACGACGTGGACGTTCCCGAGGAGCTGCTGAAGATGGTGGACGAGGACGCCACAGAGGAGGAAGGCAAGGACTCCATCCTGGGCCAGATCCAGAACCTGCAGAACATGGACATGGACCAGCTGAAGGAGAAGGCGTCGGCCACCGTCACAGAACTGAAGACCAAAGCTGAGGAGAAATGCTCCCTCATGTGAAGTTCATGTACAGGAAATACAAAAAAGAGAAAAAAAAAACAGAAAAGAAATACACGGGGCAAAATGTGTTTAAAATTGTATTTATCAAAACAAACCAGGATTACTGCTGTCAGCCTGGGAACTGGGTCTGTTCTTCCCTGTCTTTTCCTTAGTTAAATTCTGTGTAAATACAGTGACTCTCCCAAACTGTTTTTTTTTTATTATTATTATCAAATACATCAGTACACGCTAAGTATTCGTCATTTATTTTCCCTCCTTTTCTGAAATATAATTTTCTCTCAGATAAATTTAAAAAAATGTTTCAAGCCCTCATTTTGGATTTTAATACGGATTTCCGATATTATCGGCAACCAATATTCGCATAATTATGTTATATCCGTAAAAACTGTTAGCGTTTTTTCCTCCGATAATAAAAACCCAATAACCACTTCTGGAGTCCTGAGACCATTTCCACAGTTTTGGGGGATATCGGTTAATGTCGGAATCAGACATTTTGTGTTTGGACAATATCGGCAAAAGTTAATATTGGACATTTTTAAATATTCTAATATATTTTGAATGTGTTGTTTTATTTTTTTTTCTTCAAAAACATACAAATTTAGATGTGTATTTTCTCAAGCACACAGTTGAGCAGTTTAAGAAATGTGAAACATTTGCAAATTTGCACACATCATAATATTTAACCATTTACTGTACAGTTGTTTTTTTGTTTTTTTCAGTGCACTCAAACACTGATGTAACGTGTGGTGATCGACCTGTGGAAAGACAATGTTTGAATAAAGATGTTTACTGGACACACGTGTACTGTACTTATTGCCGATACTTACTACAGTAGTACTAGTTATAATATTCATAAATGATTCATGTTGGGAGACACCCTGCATTCTTCACTCCCCTGCTTTACTAAAGACCTCACCTTTGACACCTACTGCTGCTAATTTAATTGGCCATAATCCACAGATTTGTTGGGGATTATACCTGAGAATGAGAGTGAAGACGGAAAAGAAGTCAATATTTAGATGTTCACAGGAAGACAAGTCAACAAGTCTCCATCGCTATGGATTTGTGAGTTCCAGAGATTACCATCTAATAGGATCAGCACACTGCAGCTGAGGCTAGGGCTGTCAGCATGCTCTCTCTCTCTCACTCTCTCTCTCTCACACACACACACATATATATATATATATAGACACACCACATCAGCTTCTCAAACTGTGGTGCGCGTGCCACCGGTGGTACGCACACCACAGTTTGAGAACCACTGGTCTACATTATTGTTTTCCAGTTGTCAGTTCCTGTGTCTACTTGGTGACTAATTCCCCGTTCTAATTTTTTTAAATTCCAATTATTACATGAGTGAGTTTGTCATTTACTACATTTCCCCACAACGCACTTCGATTTCATGACCCGCCTCCTGGGAAATTAAAACATCAACGATTAATCCCACGGGAAACCCGTCCATTTTGTCATTCCTTCATTGTATTTTAATTTTCTCTTGTTGGTAATATTTATTTATTATTTATTTGATTGATTTGAAAAAGTCGATGCAGTCTGGTCAAATTCAAACGTCATCATACCGTCTAATGATGAAGCACATTTAAAATCAATAGAATCGAAACAAAATATAAAACACATAAGACATAAAACCATAGACTAAAGTCAATGAAAGAAATCATTTAGATTGATTTTCTAACAATTAAAATATTAGTATTAATATTAGTATTAGTATCAAAAACATAAAGAAGGATTTATTGTTTCAGGACTAAGGACAGCTGAGTGTACTTTTTATAATTCAAATACATAATGACTCCAGGTCTGTTCCAAATGAAGGTATATTGTAACAGATAAACAAATTTAGTGTTTGAGATAACAAAGATATTTCTCTACATTTTCTCCATCCAAGTTTAAAAACTAATTTAATTTGAAGAAGATCTTCTTAGTAAAACAACCTTCACTCCAGAACACACTTTCTGGCTATGGCTGGTCTCTGGGATGAAAACACTCTTGTTTGTTTCTTTTTTGTTTTTGTTTTTGTTTTTGTTGTTGGACAATGTTCTTTGAGTTTTGTGAAAAGAAAGACAGTCAGATGGAGTCATATGTTTGTTTTTTCAAGGAAACACTAAATCTAACTGCTTTTACTATATATGTATATATATTGTGTATATGTATTTATATATATATATGTATATGTATTTTTATATATATGTGTTTCAGTTACAAACAGACATTGATTTTTCTAGAGATCTGGTGACGATGACTACAGGGCGCAGTCCGTGACTTAAATCATTTTATTTTTACAGATGTGCGATGATTCTTCCACCTTAAACCTAAATCACCAGGTCAAAGGTCATGCCGGAGCCATGCTGTGACAGCGGTATGAAAAGTTTTGCCGTGTAACACTTGTTGATAATGAAGTGCCCAGTCAGCTCCACAGCCTCCTCCTGCAGACCAACAATGGATGAGGTCACCTTCTGTGATTAGGAAATCCTGGACAAGCGTCAAGGGTTATAACCCTTTTGAGTAAATAATGTAATCCCTCTAAGTAGGATTAACATACTGCTGTCAATCTTTGTTCACCATTAAGTGGTTACAGTTATTGTTGGGGTTCTTGTTTCCTTGTTTGAATCAACACCTGAAAGGACAAGTTAACATGAGTTAAACTGATTTTAGACAGTTGTAAATACTGTCCTGAGAGTTCAATATATTTATGCACAGAAATTAAATCAAAATTAATTCCAGTAGCCATAGTTTTTGGCAACAATATTATGTTGTTGTTTTTTTCAGACAGATAGTACTGAGGATTTCAATCTGTGTCTAATCTTTCTCCACCTTCACATGACACGACGTGAGAGCCGAACGATGATTGTGGGATTTATTTTAGAAGCAGAATTATTTAAGACTAGTCACTTGAAAATGGGAGGAGCCAAAAAGAAAAAGTTCTGGTTCCTCCGTTCCTCTGTTTGAACCCTCAAATCCAGCGGGACTTCCGCTCTATGACGTGAAGCACGGTTCCCGAACTGGTAGGGGGTCGTAGAGTAGGCTCTGCTTTAAAAGCCCCCTCTGGAGATGCTCCATCACCAGAGTGCACGGCGGCCTCAGTGTTGAACGACCACAGTCTCTGTTTCATTCTAACCGGAGGTGGAGGAGAGACACAAGTTTGGAACGAAGCGGACCTGCGGCTAATCGTCCCCATAATTTGGAGCTCGCTGATCGATGTGGTTTCTTGGATCAACTTCTCGGGTCACGATGATGATGGATGAGCGCCTCTCTGCCTCCGCACGCTGCCTCCAGAGCGCAGGAAACGCGCCTTCCACGGTCCACAGCATCGAGGCCATACTGGGCTTTAAGGTGGACACGGTCTTCCACGGGTCGGCGCCCTACAGCGGCGTGGGCGAAGAACTTCTCCTGAAGGATGCTGAGCAGAACCAGAGCGTGACACCGGCGAAGAAGAGTCAGTTCGCAGAAAGTTTAGACAGTGAGTGCAGTTAGACAAAAAAAAAAGAAAGAAAAAAGAAAATAATGACTTCTTCTTCTAGTCTTCTTTTTCTTTCTGTTCTGGTTCTTCTTTTCCATTTTTTTCCACTCCATTATTCTTCTTGTTTTCCTTTATTTTTCTTTTCCTTTTCTATTCTTTGCTTCTTCGTCGTCTTTACCGACGTATTTAAGTGGTACCAACGGACGTATACGATGTTTATTTCCGTATCTTCTACTTCTTCTTCTTCCACTCTTCTTCTTTAACACCGAACAGCAGTAGAGTTACAAGGACACTACATTACAATTTTACATCAACTGTCAATAAAGTATTTTAAAATCTTCTTCTTCTTCTTCTTCTTCTTCTTCAGTGGTAGTATCGTAGCCTATAAAGTTAATCCGAGGCGCTAGTGGAAAACTGTGCTTTTCTTCTTCTTCTTCTTCTTATTATTATTATTATTATTATTATTATCAAGTTGTTTTTAAAGTTGTTGTTGAACTTATTCTCCTCGTCTCTGCAGGTGTGTGCGGCGCCAGCAGCGCATCCGAAGCCTCCGTGTGTCCGGATTCTCCGGACGGAGACGAAGGCAAACTGTCCGACGACGAAAACCCGAAGAAGAAGCACCGTCGGAATCGAACCACGTTCACCACCTTCCAGCTGCACGAGCTGGAGAGAGCGTTCGAGAAGTCGCACTATCCAGATGTGTACAGCAGGGAGGAGTTGGCCATGAAGGTCAACCTGCCCGAGGTCCGGGTGCAGGTGTGTAGCAGAAATTACACACACACACACAAAGTTAATTCTGCCAAGTTCTCATTCATATTTTTAAAATAACTGTACTTAACAAAAGTATTCAAAATATCCTAACTAAGTTACCATGAAGTTAACGTTTGTCTTCTTGTAGTTTGGTGTTTAAAAAACGGGTGCAAAATAACAGTTGTTTCTTTACTACTTTTAAAGAAAATATTTCAAAACTTTTATTAAAATTGTTTTACTAAATATATTAGGATTGGGAATAATATACTATAATACAAACACAATTCACATTCATATTGTATAAGTTAAGAAAGAAATTCAAATTGTTGATCCTCACGATTGAGTTAAAAACGTAAACAATTTGGATCAGTGTATATTTACTTCTTTGATACTGCAGTTGTCTGAAGCGTTGATACATAGAGTCCAGTACTGTATTATGGACCTAATAATTTTTTTTTCTTTTATGGACCAGAGCTCCAGCATCCAGACACTTTTTAATTCAGATATTTTTAATCAGTTTAAAAGTATAAATATTATAGATACTGTAGATAGAACAGGATAGACGACACTGAAGATCACAGCCGTCCTTGGTCCAAAAGTTGGGACTGAGTACGACTGAAAAGACAGTCGTTTTCTGCATGCTGTGCTTGAAATTAACTAAAAAGTTGACTTAAAAAGTGCAGCTTATTTTTCTTTTACATATTAAAGTCAGTGGTTGTTGGGGGTTTTTTTTACTGTTTTTTTGTTTGTTTGTTTTATTGTTGTAAATATAATAATTAAATATTATAAATAAATATTAGCATAAAAATTAATTATCTGCAATCAATTTTCCAGGTGTGGTTCCAAAACAGACGGGCAAAGTGGCGACGGCAGGAGAAGCTGGAGGTGAACTCCATCAAGCTCCAGGACACCTCCTCCTCCTGCCTCCTCTCTTTGAGCCACCCTCCCTCAGGCACACTGGGCTGTGGTCTTCAGCTGGACCCTTGGCTGTCCTCACCCATCAACAGCTCCACCTCCCTGCAGTCCCTCCCTGGATTCATTGGTGGCTCTCCCCTCCAGGGCACGTACAACTCTTCCCCTCCTCCTCCTCCACCTCCTTCCTCCATACCTTCCTTGTCAGCCCCTTTCCTCAACTGCCCGGCCCTGGGACAGAGCCCTCACCTGCCCCATATTGGATCTATGTGCCCTCCACCCTCTGCGTACCAGTGTTCCGCTGACCCGAGGAACTCTAGTATCGCATCGCTGCGGATGAAGGCTAAGGAACACATTCAGTCGATGGGAAAGACCTGGTGATGGACGTTGGTTTTATCTCCATGAAGCGACGTCATCGCCTGCGTGAGAAAACTGAGTACATTGTTGATGTGTAGCAGCATTGACCTCGTTGACCCCTAAACAAGGGTTCGACACATACTGAGAATTTACTGTTGTTTTTCTGTCCTGCCGTCGTCACCACAGACTCCTTCAGTTTCTCACTTCCTTCAGACCAGTTTCTGTCTTAACCCAGGTTTATGTTCATCCATTTCTAACCATCTGTTTGTATTTATTCCACCGTTGCCAAAAGAGCACTCTGTATCAAGGTGTGTGTTTAATGAAATCATTATAAGTCCTCTTTTTACAATAAAAAATGTTTTCCAGTGAAACTGACAACAGCAAATGCCTATTAATTGAATGGTATTGTTTGTTTGTTTTTAGCAGATTTTAATTATAAGGGAAAAAACTAGATTTTCGTACACTTTTAAAGGAAAGAACATGAACTACATGTCACTGTGACACAGCACATCACTGCACACAACAAAAGATGACTTTAACCCATCGCCACAGTCAGCAGGGGGCAGCTCAGGACCTCAGTGGTAACTTGGCAGCTGGTGAACTCGAACCTGAAACCCTCCGGACCCAAGCCCTGACCTAGAAATGTCAAGAATTTACCTACTGTTCAAAGAGCTGAAACTGAAAGTTTCCCTTTCAGGACACAACATCCAAATCTGTTCAATTCCACCACAAATAATTTATCATTTTTTTCATTCACACCTAATAACCGTAACCGTCATCCCCGGTTTAAACACAACATTATCTGTATCACAGCAGTGATTTCTCAACATGTATCCATGCCTTTCATCACACAGAGGAAGAGCTGATGTCGATGGTGAAGACGACGATGACAATCGACTGACACCTTTTTAGCAAATGACTTCTTAGACAAAAAAAATTTCCCTAAGTGTCAACTGACTAGAAAATTAAGTGACATCATTTCAATACACTAAGTTTTTATATTGCAACTTTAAAAATAAGTCCAAAAATTACATTTGGAGAAAATGTGCAAAAATCTGGCTAGGTGTTAAAGGATATGAATATATATATATATATATATGTGTGTGTGTGATTGTGTGTGTGTGTGTATATATATTAAAAAGTTTCTGCAAAATATTGTTAATAACAAGTCATTTTGTCCCAGTTTTACTGCAAACTACAACAGTTCAGTTTATCTTCATGGAAAAGGGTTAGAAAACACTACTGCAAAGAAATTATTATCTTTAGGTCAATAATATACATATTATATCAACCACATATACGTTGATGTGCGTATTCGCACCAACGTTTTGTCTCTGTGAACTGCCGTGTCATCGTCTCCTCCTCTCTGCAGTAAATGAGTTTGTCAACCCACTTATTTCATCCTCATTAGGGATTGGTTCCTGGGATTAGTCTCGTAATGATGGGGTGAAAGTGCCTTGTACTTCCTTTGTTGACCAATCACCCATGTAAAACGAGGGGAGAGAACAGAAAAGACAACCGTCCTTTGAGCTCAAGAGAAAAATGTGTCCGACTAAATCGTTCTCAATCAGGATTCCCCCACTGTGTGTAACCTCCGAGAGCTAATAATAGTCTCCACCAGCGTCTAGTCCACCTTCCTGAAAAGTTACATTCATTTTTATATTTACTAGTATTTATCACGCGTTGAAAAATATATGTGGGCCACGTACGGTTACCGTTTCAATCATATGAACATGAAACCCGTTAGGATCCTACTGTCAAGGCTGCCTTAAATCTGTGCTGGAATGCCTGTGCTCTATAGTTTAACTCGCGGGTGAATAATTAATCGTGTATATTCTGCCATCTAGTGGTGAAAGTTGGTGACTACATGGGGAATTGGCCTAGAATTATTACAAAAATTCCCCTACATGAGAAATTGGCCTAGAATTATTACAAAAATTCAAACACAAAAGACCGTCGGACTTTTGTTCCGAGAACCACAGTGCAGTTTATTCAGTTTTTTTGTGTTGATGTGACATTAATATTTACAAGCCATTCTGCAGTGCAACCGGTTGCATAATCTCTATTTCAGAATTTTGACATCAGTACTGATCATAATCCCTGCTGGGACTGCAGCATTTTTGCAGCCAACTCTTTGCAGCCAACTCTTTGCAGCCAAAAAAAGTAAAATAAATTCACAGTGAATTTAACTACAGAGGAAACCATTTAGTGAGGCTGCTTTTTCAAAACAGGATCTCTGTGTCTTCATTTGGAACCTTTGTTCTGCAGTTTCAGAGCCAGAAGGTGCGAAATCTACGATGGGGTAAAAAAAATAACCATAACATTACAACAACAGTCCAGCAGAACAAAAAACAAAACAGAATCAGCATCAGACTAACCTCTCCAACATATTTGTCTGTGTTGTCTTCTATCCAGAGACTGCGTAGATGGATAAGTCTGTCTGCAGTGTGTGGCTTCTGTTTTGGCTTCTTCTGCTGCATCAGAGTTTTAATCAGACCGTCGTGTGACTGGAGGTCCGTGACCTCGGCTCTGTCAAAGGCTGTAAGGTAGTCAGAGTCACGGTGAATCTCCCGCAGCAGCCCCTCGGTGCTCTTCTTACCCATCAAATGACCTTAAGGAAGTCGCACAAAGATGCAGTGAGAATTCTTTGGTCACACTCAGATGAACAGGTGTACGAGGAAACAATAACATCAATAATATTACCAATAACAATAATAAAAGCAGCAGCAACAATAAGTGTATTACTTATTAAAATTATTAGTTGTAAATGAACTGCTTTAAGAAAAAATGAAATGACTAAAAAATTTAAGATTACTAATAATAACTATTAGCAATATTAAGATGACATTGATGATGATTATCATCACTATCAATTTTATACTTCATAGTGATTTAGTGTTTTCCTAAAGTTGTTCATTTAACCAAATTAAGTCTATTATTTTACTTTGATTATTCCTTCACATGTTTTATCACACAAAATCAGACCAATTTATATTAAAGTGTTAATAAACAAAGGAAGAACAATTACATCCTGTACATGTAAAGCCTGTAATATGAAGGACAAAACAGAGGAAAAGGGGAACAAAAGAAGAAATAATACATTACAAAAAAAGACGAATATGTAAGCACAGACTGGTGAAGAAACAATGGTACAAACAAAAGGAAAAAGTTTCTCTTACCAACTGCCCAGTGATTGCCACGTAGATACATTTTTCCAACCACAGCTCCTTGACTCTGGGAGCAGTGGAACACACAGGGCAGAGAAACCAGAAAAAGAAAGAGTGGCCACACTGCTCTGCCAGTCCATGGACAGCAGGAACACACTTCCCTCATGTTATCAGAGAGAAATAGAAGGAAAAATTCAGGTCTGACCAAAGGTGAGTGTTTCAGTTAATCAGTCTGGTCCCACTTTAAACCTGCAGCATAGTGTGTGTGTGTGTGTAGCCTCCCGCAGATGAAGACTTGTAGAAGTTTCACACACCACTGCAGTTTTGACAGAACGGCCGGGTGGTGAAGGTCTAAGTGCTCCTCCTGAGACGGCTGTACGTCATCGACTGTAGTATCAGAAGGAGGACAGTGACAGTGAGACATTATCATTTGTAAACCTGTAATTATTGAGTCATTGCCTCATGTTTGAGCAGGAGTGGTCTCTGTCATGTCATGGAGATGGACGGGGTCTATGAGTAATTGCGTCCGTCTCGAACGTCACAAGAAGCCAGTGAACGAGGAAAAAGAAAAGAAAATCAGAACTAAGTTAAAAATATCACCATATGTAATTAGACTATATATGAACACAGACTGTGTGAAAATTCAGTATATAATATCATATTCCGAAAAGGTGTTTCGCCTTTGAAAAATGTAATAAAAGTTCAAATCGGTAATATCATATTCCGAAAAGGTGTTTTGACTTTGAAAAATGTAATAAAAGTTCAAATGACTGTTTTTGTAAAGCAATAAAACATGGGCTGACCCACTTCATTCTATTAGTGCTGTTGAACATAAACTAATTTATAAAGGTAAAATATATTTTGTCACATGATCATATACACATATACACATATAACTACAGTGATGTAACGTCACTCCTTGAACCCGGGCAAAAAATACTGTCGTTACAGACGTCCTTACTCGTGTTTCTGCTTTCTATTCTTAGGAACAGGAAAAATAATAGGTACTAGATATTAATGATTTAACACTGAATTAACTAGGGGGCGTTGTTCGTTTGTTTATTCAGTTGTTTGTTTGGTTTTTGGGGGGTTTTGTTTTGTTTAAGTTCTTTGGTTGTTGGGTTTTTTTAGCTCAAATAGCTTTAGTTTTGGAACTAAACTAATTTTTTTTTTTTTTTTAAAGGTCGAACAAAATGATACATTTCTGCCGAACACAGATGTAGACACGGAAAACGATGTGAACTCAGAAGTCGTTTAAACAAAGTTGTGTGCCCTCACATATGCCTGTGTGAAATTCTCATGTGACAGGCCCCTAACACAACAGTTTTGACATACGTTTTGGGGAAAAGACAATAAATAAATAGAAACACAACTGTACTCTACATAAGATATTTGATAAATTAAAAAAAATAAAGTCAAATATTGTGCACATCCCACGATATCGTCGTCATCCGAGTTTACAAACAAGATTTGTTTCGAACCACCAGAACACTCAAACTGATAAAATAAAGTTTTTATTTTTTTCTCTAAAATAAAATGTTGCGGTGCCTGCTTGGTTTTTAGAATTTTCTAGAACGTCGTTCGTATAAAATGACCTGGATGACTGAGAACCTACCCAGAAAACTTTGAACTAGTAAAAATGAATTGCTTTATTTAATTATGTCAATGACTGGGGTCCTTATTAACGCTAGATGGCACTGCGGGATAAACTAGGGGAACTTTTACACGTCGTGAAACGCATATATAAAACTAAAACTAAAAAAATAACTGAATTTATCTGAATATATTATTATTGTTGTTGACGTTTGTTCTTGATATTATTATCACTATCGACAGAGTCTTATATAGTCTCGCCTATTAGCATATTGCAAAATTTAAAGTGACAGCTGTACCCTTCTATTAAAAGCTGTGAAAATAATGTCTGTTTCCTGGTCATACTTATTCACACTCTTTTTTTCCATTTCCTTCATGTCCTTTGATACATTAAGTGGTTGGACTGTGCTGATGTGACTCTAATAACCCTGGTTTCATTAGAAGTACAGACGGACAAATTAAAAGGACCTTTCAGAGCAACAACATCAATTATAACTGACTGATCTTTGCTGCAATCAGAGCTCTTGTCATATGACCTGCTGATCAACCAAGAAATAATTCTAACATTTTTCAGTTTGGAAGAGGAAAAGTCATAAAATGTTGTCAAAAGGGCAGCATCATGGTAGCTTTCTTTATACATGGTCTTACAACGTTTCCCAATCTTCCTTTTCTATATCAATAGTAGTAATTAAAGTTATTGTTGTATTTCCAATAAAAGATTGACAGTATCACCTTTTCAGTAAAATGAATACATTAAGATGTTCACACAGTTTATATAAGGGATGTCCAATATTAACTTTTTGTCGAGATCCGATATTGTCTAAACACTTAATTTACGATTCCGATATCGACCGATACTAATATAGGCCTGATAATTTATTTATTTATCTATACAAACAACTGTATGAGTTGCTGGCACCAGAATTCTGCATACATTATTATTAAAATAGATTAATGAGCTGCAATGCTGCCATCTAGTGACTTTCACTTTTATATAGAGCAGTTTATCCCCAAAACTATTTTTAGGCCACAGATCATTTAGCGAAACCATTGCTTTATCGGGTTTCCATTATTGAAGGAAAAACGGACACAAAATCCTACAGATTTTACATAACTATGCTAGCATCGACAGGCCGATATTACTGGACATTCCTAGATTAATTTTTTCCTTATGTGCATTTCAACTCCGGGTTTCCATTATTGAAAGGAAAAACGGACACAAATTCCTACAGATTTTACATAACTATGCTAACATTGACAGGCCGATACTACTGGACATTCCTAGTTTAATTTTTTCCTTATGTGCATTTCAACAGTGTTTGACATGTGGAATGACAATACCAAAAGGTGCTTTTTACAGTGTTGACACATTTTACATTTAATATATATTTATATATACATATATATATAGACACACATTAGTAGTGTTAAAATGATAAACAACAGAATTTACAATATTGGAGATATTCACATCTTAATCCACAAAAATATCTACACATTAAAAGGGAATCTTATCGCACCTTTCCTCTGCTGCCTAAAGCCCACATGAATGGAGGCTGTGTGACGTCATGTGACTGTGTGTTTTTCAGGGGTGGAGAGCACGGCAACCTCAGCTTCCTCTCTAAATCTGTCACACTGTAGGGAGGCAGGATGCATCAAGAGGGCCTTTAATGATGTACTGTGTATGCATGTCTCCACCTGCCTTGCAGTGAATAAAACACATTTGTGGTGACTGAAGAATAAATCTGTAATGCTTTTTTTTTCTTTTTTTTTTCTCCACAAAGAAGGATCATTATTCCGTGCTGCAGCATTCATGCCTGATGTATGAAGGACTGGTAGCAGGCAAAAAAGACATCCTCATTCTGCTGAAATCCTCTATCTGCCACCCTGCAGGTAGGTCCCAGATATTTTGTTGGGCATGTTGTGTAGCAAACTGAGGTTTTGATTATTGACACCTTTCTGATTACCTTCTTAGGGCTGTGCAGGCTACATAAGTTACAGTTATGCATTGTTGTGTATATTGATCTGGACGTTATCTCTATGTGGCATGGCCAACAAACAGTAGATACAGATACAGGAAGGCAGGCTAAATAAAAAAAGCTGATGGTAGACGGACAGCTGGGCCTAAACAGAGGCCTTAACCACTCATACGATGCACTACAACAACCGTTTGATTGTAATGTAATTATAGGAAGAGTTTGCAAAAATCACTGGAGCGAATCATTTCTTTATCCATCACATGGTAACACTGCAGCAAGGCCTGAGATGCAGTGCATATGTCTGAGTCTGGACCTGCTCGTTTTCTTTTCTTCCTCTTATTTCCCCACCTCCCTCTGTCTACATCAACCCCCCCTCCCCCCGTCCTCTCACTCTCTCCCTCTTCCTTCTCTGCACCAGCTGCTGCTGCTCCAGAGCCAGAGTGGAGAGTCCCTTCACCCCCCCCACACACACACACAGGCACAGACAAAAGGCCTGATTCGCCTGCTGACCACTGCCCCCTTTCTCCATCCGTCCCCACACGCACAGTCGTGATGGTGGTGGTGGTGTGGCGGCGGGGGCTCCAGGGCCTGGACTGGGACTGAAATCTAGGACTGACCCAGTGAACGAGTGTGGGAAGAGAGGGGAGGGGAGGAGGAGGAGGAGAGTGAGTGCTGAAATGGCTGGGGTTGAGTGAAGGCAGGTACTGAGGCCTCGACAGGAAGACCTTTTCTCTTTGAAAAAAATCCCTGAGAGTGGAAAAAAATCTGCCAAGGGTATGCCACATTTACCTCTACAGTACGTATGCATGAATGTGCATGTTAATGTTTCTATGTGTCTCTGAGATGAGAGGGATGGCATGTGTTTTAATGGAAAACAGGAGAGGGAGTGTGACGCATGAATGGCCGGTGCTTGCCCCTGTCAGAATGTCTGCGTTTGTGCTCTTAGATTTCCTTATCTTTATACCACGTGGTTGTAGGGCTGCTCTGGGATCGCATGCAAGTTTGTGGGCACACTATCAAGAGCCAAAGCACTGTGGGATGTTGTTCAGAAACAGGCCAAGGTGCTAGATTGACTCTGTTACCTCTTTCTCAGCTTTCATCATTTATCACCGTTGTTTCCCAAACATCACCCATGCTTTACATGAAGTCTGTCCTGTCCTGTCTTTTATGTGTTTTAAACTTTTCTTTTCTGTCCTTTTCTATGTATTTGTGTGTTGCTACAACAAGATGTCTTCCCTAGACTCTCTAGTTTTGCTGAGACAGAATCTACAGGATGGAATTGAAGTCACTTGGTGAGCGTGGTGCAGTGGTTTATGGGAGTTTGTCACAGTGGTTCTGCGTGTGTGTGATTCTGAGGCCGTATTGCAGCTCAGGGCTTTTATGCTGGGTGACCGGAACCGGCTGAAACCGGTTTGAAGCAGACAGCAGGCTGACAGGAACAATGCTGTCTCTGTGCTCCACTGTGGGATAGCAATAGCCCAGGGCTCTCCATGGCGGCCCTTCACTGCTCACTATGGCAGGAATCGAATCAGATGTTGCTGCTGCGGCGGCACCGGCAGCGGCTCACCGCCGGCTGGATGTGGATGTGCTACACTGCACGTCTCAGAGCAAGATTTCAGGAAGAGATGAGGGCAGGGGGACGGGGCCGGATGGGAATCTGTGAATCTGCAGCAGAGAGCCTGCCTCCATACACACACACACACACACACACACACACAGAGACAGGAGCATGATTTATCTTTCTGTTGTATATGTCTGTGGTGTAGAGATTGACTGAGGAGGATCATAAGCAGGAGCACCAGGACTCAGCAGATGTATGGATGTAACCTGACCCTGAATCCTAGGCCTTGTCCTGGTTAAGAAGAAACAGGACCGTCTTTCCCAGGAAGGGTGGGGTGGATGGCTTTTGTAAGTTAGTCGTGCTGTGAATGTGTTTGTTGCAGGATGGAAGGAAGAAAGAAAAGACGGTTTGGCTAGAGGCTGGAGAGGGACGAAGTCACGAGGGTGAGGATAGGACTGATTCACTCTAATGTTTCCATGATTGTTTTTTTTACGTTCTTTTATCTAGTGCTGGAGTTGTCTGTGACAGTGAACGGTGTTCAGGGTGGTGCCAACACATGTGTATTAAACAGATGTTCTTCAGAGTGGGATCTGTGTTGCGTATTTCTCATGTTTGTCTGTGTTTAACCTTTGTTCATGTCCGCCACGGGCTGCTGTGTCACGGCAGCGAGGAGCTGTTCTTTTCTCCGGGCCTTTCTCTCGCTCTGCTGCAGCCCCTCACAGCTTAGCAGCCATTTTCTACCCTCACTGTGTTTCTCGCCCACCCTCACTGTCCATTAAATTTCTCCCTCCTCTCAGCCATCCTGTCTTTTTTCATGTTTAGCTCATAAACACAACATTCCCCTCATAAGCTATGTTAACATTTGGGAAATTTGGAAACCAAGGCTAATCTGCAGGGTATGGTTTTGCATCTCCAGGCAGACATTCAGACTTTAACCATTTAATCACCTTTTATAATTTTTTTTTTTTTGAAGGATTTCTTGATTAAAGTGACCAGTGTGGATTAGTTCCCACTTTCTGCCAATGAATACACGTGACCAAAAGATAAATATGGCGTAACTAAATATAGATACAGGAAACACACTGGTCTAATTAACTGTGAGCCTTTAGGAAAATGAGCATGCAGTTTGGTTTGCAATGCAAAAATAAAACAAAAAGGAATTCCAGTGTAGTGGCCTCAGATGCTATCGCTCTTACACACACACACACACACACTACTGCAGCATACTGCCACCAAATCACTATGGATACGCTGCACTGCAGTAAACACTGTTCATCCAAGAGCTCTTATATCAGTAGTACTGTGATACTGTAAATGAGATAAAACACCATGTAACTTCCTCTTTGCATAATTGATTTGTGGTGCCATCATTTAGAAATTATTTTATAAAATGTGATACTTTCACCTTAAATACATTTTGACAAAAAAATGATCACAGCACCAAAAAACTAAAGTGTTGTTTCACTTATTGGTGTTCTATCTGTGTTCTCTTTGGTGATCTCTACATCAGAATAGGAGGAGGACCATGGGAGATATGAAGACGCCAGACTTTGATGACTTGCTGGCGGCTTTCGATATCCCCGACATGGTGGATCCTAAAGCTGCAATTGAATCTGGGCACCACGAAGACCATGAGGGGTCGCTCAAGCAATCCAGTGGAGTCACTATGAATGGAGACGAGACTCATAACCCTCCACTGGCAAATGACATTGGTGTCAGTGTCATTGTCAAAAACATCAGAAACAGTGACTTAGTGCCTGGTGGAAATAAGTCGGACAGGGAGGGATCTTTAAACTCCCACCTTCACCCCAACACTGTTGGAACCAGTAATGGACACAATAACTTTTTGCAAGATGCACAACCTGGTACTAATTACAACAAGAAAAAATGGAAACCCTCCAGTGAGGGAGGAGAGTCGGGGACCAACCAAATGGCCACATTCAACCAGTTCAGCCCAATTTCCAGTGCTGAAGAGTTTGAAGATGATGATAAGATTGAGGTTGACGACTCCATGGATAACTCGGTTTGTCAGACAGAGACAAGGTCCACTACAATGGGAGAGAACCAAAATCTTAAAAGCCCTACTTCAGTGGACAAAATATCTAAGACAAGCACGAATGAGGACCAAAAACTTGATCGAAACAACAATAGTAGTGGAGGCAAACTGCAAGAATCTACATCTAACTATATGTGTCAGTCAGGTCCACCCAGAGAAGAACTCCAAGACAGTGTCACGAAACCACAAAGTGATGAGAGCAAACACACACCCAGTGTTTCCCAGATAAAAACCAAGTCATCTGTGAAACTCTCCTCTTGTATAGCAGCGATAGCAGCCCTCAGTGCCAAGAAGGTCACAGACATAGATGTTTCGGATCCCCCAACAACACAAAAAAGATCTGTAAAGGCTACTGAAAATGGTAAAGCTCCAGAGACACAACAGGAATGTGAGTCAGCGCTAGAGTTCGCAAAGAGACTGCTGACAAAACAGCAAGGCAGTCCCTCTAGTGTTACAAGTGAGGGAAGCAGCACAGAGTCCCCCACATCAAGCGTAGACACAACCCCAGTCATCCCAAAGGTCCGGATCAAAACCATCAAGACCTCGTCTGGACAAATCAAGAGAACAGTCACCAGAGTAATTCCAGAGTTTAATACAGAGACTCTAAAAAAGGGCAATAAAAGCCCATCTGGTGGGTCAACAGCTACTTCCATTTTCTCATCCCCTACTAGGGCCTCTCTGCCAACCACAGTAGTCACCACAGCTGGAGGCCCTTCAATTGAAATAACCAAGCAAATGACAATTAAACCTGTTGCTACGGCTTTCTTGCCTGTCTCAGCTGTCAAGACAGCAGGCTCCCAAGTCATTAACCTCAAGCTGGCAAACAACACTACAGTCAAAGCAACAGTCATCCCTGCTGCAACAGTGCAAAGTGCTAGCAGTGCCATTTTGAAAGGAACCAATGTCATTCAGCCACAGACTGTCATGGTGCCGGCCTCTAGCTTAGCTAGTGCTAAACTCATGCCAAAGACAGTCCACCTTAGTAACCTCAACCTTTTGCCCTCTGCCATGGCCTCTGCTGTGTCTGAACTCCAGCAAACTCTTTCTTCCTCCAAGCAGAGCAATCAACAGTCACAAAATGTCAAATCACAGACCTCGAAGAAAGTCCCCAGGGTTCAAGTGTTCACTAGTTCTCAAAGCTCAGTTGTGGATGCCTTTAATAAAGTCCTGAGCAGCATTAACCCAGTCCCTGTGTATATTCCCAACCTCTCTCCACCAACTTCAGCCTGCATCACTCTACCCTCACATGGCTACAAGTGCCTGGAATGTGGGGATTCATTTGCCCTGGAGAAAAGTCTGACACAGCACTATGAACGACGCAGTGTTCGAATTGAGGTCACCTGCAACCACTGTGCCAAGAGTTTAGCGTTTTACAACAAATGTAGCCTCCTGTCTCACGCCAGAGGTCACAAGGACAAAGGAGTCGTCATGCAGTGCTCTCATCTGATTCTGAAGCCCATCCCAACAGAACAGATGATAACCGCACTGTCATCGAGCCCACCAAATGTTTCTCCAGCTCAAGCACCTGCAAGTCCAATGCATGGGAAAACTGTCAGTGATTCCCAACCGCCCGCAGTCCCAGTTTCATGTAGTGCTCCTATCACAGTGGCATTTCCACCAGAGGATGATGCATCAAAGCTCTGCAGGTTGAGCCTGAAGTGTTTGGAGTGTAACGAACTCTTCCAAGACGACAGCGCACTAGTAATACACTATCAACAGGCACAGGAAACCAGTGGACAGGTACGGGTATGGATTTATAGCTTGGGCTCTGCAACTAAATGGCTCTTGTTTCCAGTACAAATATTTCTAGAGTTTAAAGAAAGGTATCAAGGTTTCACCCTAATACAATGTAACCTTTCGAATTCAGATAATGATTGCTTATGAAACTGATGGCAAGTTCAATTGCACAATAAATGATCAGGAAGGCTGTATTTTATAGATGGCACAGTGTAGGACATCACAGAGAGAAAGACATCATGAAAGAAAATGCTTGCCACAAATTTTCTTCTTCACATAAGCAGAAAGCTATTTCAAGCCAAGTGGAGATCAACAAAACTATAAGCAAAATCAGTAATAATAATAATAATAATAGCACAGAAAATGAAACATTCTGCACAGCCAGCTGAACAGAAAGTGGGCAGAGCTTTCACACATACACATTTTAACTGCTTTCTTTTTAGTTTGAGAGATTATGATGTTACCACTGTGTTAGCATAAGTTACTAACATAAGTACTTAGGAGTTACGTCGGTATTCCGTTCCGGAGTCCTGCTGTATTATATTGTCATTAAGCCACAACTATTTTTTTTTCTCTTCTCTTCATGTTTTCTTCTGTAGAAAACATGTAGCATTTGCCAAATGCTTCTGCCAAATCAGTGCAGCTTCCTGTCACACCAGCGGCTCCATCAGCACAAACCTCCATACATCTGTCCCGAATGTGGTGCCAGCTGCAGATCTGTCCACTTTCAGTCACACGTCACCAAGAACTGTCTACATTATACTCGGAGAGTGGGCTACCGGTCAGTTTCCTTTAATGTACTTCTTTTTCTTTTCTTTTTTTTATCAATACATGTTTATTGGAATTATTTCACCGACTGTTATTGTTTAAAAAAATTCTAAATTTAATGCAAAGGGGTGAAAATAAGTTTAGTGTTTTTACCACTGAGACATTCACTTTGGTTAGACATACTAAACTACAAAAACTAAAGAGAAAGAGACCTGTGAACCAGAGTGCCATTAACAATGTCATTTGTAATTACACTTAAAATTACATCATCTCTGCCGCAGTTTGACAGTGGCTCATCATTTAAAGTGATATTACTAATAATTAGTCTTAATGGAAAAAGGGCACTTTGTAAACGCCATTGTGTAAGTGAGGACATATTTGGGTCAATATGAGTCATTAAAGTGATGCCTGTATGTATATTGCACGTATAATGACTCACAACTATCATATAAAATGGTAAGTCATGGTTCTGAACAGTTGTTTTTAATTTACTTAATATAATTTCTCTACAGAACCTTCATTTTAGTCTAAACACTTCCACTAATTCCCATCAGGGAATTCATTTTCTGTAGAATTCAGAAATATTTTGCTCATATGTCAAAGCTTGCTTTTTTCCTCTTCTATGGACTGAAATTGCCAAAGAATCTGCTTCAAAGATTACGACACTTAAAAATAAAACTTTGTAGCACCTTTTGAGGTAAATACAGGTAGTTAGTGCTACTTTCCCAGGAAAATATAAAAAAAACAAGTTTCAAGGTTTCCCCAGCAACTACTAAGCAGAATATTTGGCATGACACTCTGAGCTGATCCACAAAACAAAATACATTACAGTTGTTGTTGACCCTGTGCCCGTCTTTATTTCTTTATCATTTTCCCCTTCTGCTCTATGACCCTGCTTCAGCTGTGTGCACTGCAATGTGATCTTCGCTGATGTAACAACTCTCAAGTCACATATTCAGAATTCTCACTGTGAGATCTTCTACAAATGTCCTCTCTGCCCTATGGCCTTCAAGTCTGCGCCTGGCACTCACTCTCACGCATACACACAGCATCCAGGAGTGAAGGCAGGAGAGCCAAAGTAAGTCTGCCTGCTGCTGTGGCTGCAAAAAATACTAAAATAATACTCCTGTTCTTACAGTCTCAACCTGTATCTACCTGTATTTTAGTCACACACCGTTCACACTGTCACATAGCCCTGCAACCCTACACCCCTGTCTAATTCATTATGGAAGGAAAACCATTCTTGCTGGTTCTTCAATAGCAGGATTTGTGGATGTTAGACATGGTGGATTAACTGGAGGCTGTTTATTCCACCCACCAATCTTTTCTACCAGATGAGCACTTTACATCATAGTTATCAAACTCATTTTCACCAGGGGCCACATCAGCAAAGGTGAAGGGTCAGTTGTAACTGGAAGACTGTATAGATTAATATGTAATGTATAAATTTGTACAAGTAAATTACAAAAAGCAGACAACAAAGACAGATATCTCACTTCATAACTATAGTATACGAGTAGACCTCTGCTCATAGATCTGTCATCATTGTGAAATGCATTGCAGTTGTATTTTATGGCCAATATACGCTCTGAAGCAGCACAGACTATTCTAAGGTAGTTAAACGCTTTTAAGCTCATGCATACATATATACACATACATATATACACACATACACATATACACACACACACACATATATATACATATACACATATACATATATACATATATATATACATATATACACATATATATATGTGTGTATATATATATACACATATATGTGTGTGTATATATATATATATATATATATATATATATATATACATATACATATACATATACATATACATATACATATATACATATACATATACATACCAAATGAACCAAACCAGTCAATATTCCCACCTTCAGTTTAGCGCTTTTAGCTTTATGAAGACGGTGTCCTTTAACCTAATCTAACTTCCACAGGGTCCCTCTGTAATTTCTTTTGTTGTTGTTTTTTTTCCAGACTTATATACAAGTGCTCCATGTGTGACACCGTATTCACTCTGCAGTCTCTGCTCTACACACACTTTGACCAGCATGTTGTCAGTCAAAAGGTTTCCGTGTTCAAGTGCCCCGACTGCTCCATGCACTATTCACAGAAGCAGTTGATGATGGACCACATCAAAGTAAGCACGGAGCACATTGGTTTTGGTCATACAATGAACTGTTTTAATATAAATTCTAAAACGCCAACTTTTGTATAATTTTGATAGATCATTCATGGGACTCTGAAGAACGTGGAGGCTCCAACTAACCTGGGCATCAACCTTCCTCTCAGCACAAAGCCCACTAACGCCAACACCAATAGCAACAGCCTTGGCAATAACAATAGTGTAAATAACAACAATGATGGTGGAACTATTAACAGTAACGACAGAGGAGAAAAGAAATCTTCAACTTCACCGCAGAAGAAAACAAACAGCAATGACTCAGCGGTTCAAAAGAAGTCTGCCAGCATGGGATACACATGTGGAGACTGTCAAACCCTCTTCAGCTCCCGGGAGGTCTACGTGAGTCACATGAGACGTGAACATGGCAAGGTATCTCTCTGATTATGGTGACCTGGGTTCGCTTACTTGAGTTGAAGTTTAAATATTCTGCTACACAAAGGGAAGTTTTGGAAGCTTATTTCTTACTCACTGTCACTCTCATTTGGCAGATTTTGAAGAAGCATCCATGCCGACAGTGTGAAAAGTCCTTCAGCTCCTCGCACAGTCTTTGTAGACACAATCGTCTCAAACATAAAGGGTTGCGGAAGGTACACGCCTGTCCGTGAGTACTCATGAACTCATCATCAAATGTGTGCACCGTCTAAGTCATGGGTTCCCGATCTTTTCTGTGCAGAGGCCCACCACCCCACACTGCATTAGTTTCTGGCCAGGGACAGAATTTTTTAAAAATTTTTTTGTCTTTCCTAATAGTCACTGTCCAGCTTCGAGTGAGACATTCACTAGAAGAGTGCTGCTGGAACAGCACATCCAGCTTGTACATGGTAACAAAGAACCAGAAGGGAAAATTGTCAGCTATGATGATACGGAGGCTTTAACAAATAAGGAAACGGTATTTATAAAATAAAAAAAATATGTCAATCACTTCACTTTGTAATGTCATCGTTGTGCCTAACTTTCTCTGTCTTTCACCCCTACAGACGCCCAGCTCCAAAAGAAAATCAGAAGATGACGAAGGCTCTAAGGGTCTTATCTCGAGGGGCTCGGACTCACAGCCTTTAAAACGTCTAAAGGTGAACATCCTCAAAGTTCACAAATGTGCCGTCTGCAGTTTCACCACAGAGGACATTGCTGCTTTCCATAAACACATTCCCCAACACAAGACCAACGGCTCGTCATACCAGTGTCAGGAGTGCGGTCTGTGCTACACGTCGCACCCCTCACTGGCACGACATCTCTTCATCGTTCATCGACTGAGGGAGCCTAAGGGCCTGGGCCGATTCAAGGGACAGGTCAAGGGTGATGATGAGAGTCAAAGAGAAAACCACATGGATATTATTGACGAGAACAGTGACGGGAAGCTCAACACAAAATGTAAAGTGTGTGGGAAGACGTTTGAGACGGAGGGAAACCTGAACACTCACATGAGGACGCACGGAATGGCATTCATTAAAGCCAAGCAACTGAGTGCAGCCGAGAAGTGATTTTACTTCTGAAAGGAAAGTTGAAGTCATGAACTGTTTTGCTGCTATATTTGCTGGCTGCATTTGTATATACTGTATGTACATAACTTACATAAAGCACATTACAGCACGTGTCAAATATGCTCAGTAAAATGTAAACTGTATGTAAATGTCAGTGTCTTTAAGTAAATGAAACAAATAGCCTTTTTGTACAAATAAATGTTTGTATAGATTTTTTTTAAATAGAAGAGTATTTTATTTTATTTTTTCTCTAAGAATAGATAATGTATGGATGTATTTGTGTTATATGAGAACAGTCCTCATAAACGAAGCAGTGTTTTATATTGATGCTGCTAATGTCCACTGAATGTCTTAGAAAAGCATATCTGTATTTCGAAAGATTAGGGTTTTCGTCAACCCTTTCACACATTTCCCAACAAATCATGTTGCTGTTACACATCAGCGACTACAGTCAGTGAGGATAAGATACAAAACCATTCGACAAATGTTTTACCCTTCAAATGATAGCAGTGGTGCAGTGTTCAAAGTAACTGGAAACTCACAACAGATGCAGCGTAGACTCGGTGTCAGTACAAGTAGTTCCTGCACTTATGTCAGATATGGTACAGTACTTTTCGTACAGTTTGTTCGCAATGACTGCTTTTAAGCTAGCTAAGCTACACTGGCTTTGTAGTCGAGAGGTTGTACCTGCCACAGTGTGACAAGGTGGTCATTTTTGGGGAAAATGTACTTTTCCTCACTGACTGCACTCCAAGACCTCCACATTTGGCTTTTTGGTTCATTTTTGGAAACCATACCACTTTCCTTTTTTTTATTATTGTTTTTGGTAAAACAATTCTATTTATGAGCCCCTTTTGGCCTCTACAACAAAATCCTGGTACAAATCTTGTCCTCAGGCTCAGCCCTGACATTTATAAATGGAGTAATTCATACAATCCTTCTGTCAGTCCTAATCATATCACAATACCTTTAAACCATACATCTGGAAGATAGTGATGAACTAAATGTTTTTATGTCTTGAAAATGCCAAAATATGGACCAAATTCCTATTTGTCTAAAAACTGTTTTTCTTTGCACGAGGATGTTTTTTCTGCCTGTGTCAGTGTGTAATAAGCCACAACGGTTTGAAATATGAACTTAAGTAAAGAGGTTTAAAATATCTTTTAGACTTTTAGGAAACAGCACTTGTTTTAAACAGAAATTACTTTGCAGTATAAGCACATGTATTAAACCATCAAACAATTCAAATGCAAGGAGAACAGAGCCGTTTTTTATAGTACTGTAACTTAAAAAAAACATCTTTGTTAAAGTCCTTTATACATTTTATTTTCTATTGTTTTAAAGTATCGGTGAGCTATGCTTTGCAGGTTTCATGAATGTTTTGAAGAATGATTTTACCTTTCAATAAGAAGACATTCTCACTGTAATTCACTGTAAAGCTGCATGTGAGAACTCGTCTGTGAATCATGTGCTAATGGGTAAGTTACTTGTACTGCTGCTCTAGACATGGCTGATGAATGTGTACGGTATACAGTTGCTCTTTATGTCAATAAAAGATGAACGGGGACAAATTGATGTCCTCTGCAAATAAGACATCAGCTCCTCCTCCTCCACAAAGTTTGTCATCAGCTCATTAAGTCACCACCATTTCATTCAGTGCATTTTGACACCTTGTCAGCCTTTTAATGTACTTCACTGCAATTGGTGTTCGTCATCATCATACACGCAAATAACGCACATCACACTTAGGTTTCTTACTTTAAAAAATAAACTATGTAATATGCAAATGAGGCCAACAGAAATAGAACTACAAGACTCAGCACTGGTTATTCTCATAAATCACATTTGTTTCATGAAGCCCACAAAGAACCGTCCTAGTGAATAATAATGTGACAAACTCAAGTAATGTATCTATTTATCTGGTGAATTTTTTCGTTTAAATAAAAATAAAGTTTTAAATGTGTCTTTTGGGTGGGGTTGTTTTATTGCTGTTGTTTTTCTGGGTTTTGGTGTTCTAGGAAAAATCTCCTTCATGGTCTAACTGGTTACCTTGGATCCTATATTTTCAGTCACTCTGGGTGTATTTGGGTGTACATGACTGCCCTCTAGAGGCCATAATAGGAAGCGTGTTCAGTCATTGATGGTTGTTTGGCCATTGTGCCTTTAAATAAGTATATAAAAGATTTCCAAATACATGGCTATTTCCATCAGAGCATTCATTTGTTTTTAGAATTCGACAGCTCTACAAAGAAGCTGTGGCCAAGACCAACAACTGAAATCCAGATACTTTCAAATGTTCTTTTAGTTTTACAAAAGAACAAGAATAAAAATGATCAAAACCTATGGCAATCATTTTAGCAGATTTCATTGGAGTTTGGTTAAAAATTATGTTTGCTCTAATTCACTTTTGAAGGTTAAAAACCTATCAAAAATTTTGTTATTAAACTAAGACACGTTTTTAATTTATAACATTTTAACTGTGTTTTTGACTCTTATACTGTATGTACTGGGCCGAATGACGTCACTGGCCATGGTCGTGTTTTGACAATTTTAGTTAAGCTCACTCTTTTGTCAAATTCAATTTGCACGGTGTCATATTTACGACGCCCGTAGTGTTTTTGCCGTGCCTCTGGCACAGCAAAAACGCGTAACACGCTCGCGCTGTTGCAAAACATTTTGAAAAAAGAAAATTAGGCTTTTGTCAAGAATTTCGCACGATTGTCTCCTCCCACCTTATTTAAACGTCCCCTCAGTTTCTGAATTACCCAGTTGGTCGACCTTGTTTTAGTTAGCCCTAAAATGGTCCAGGGTTTATAACTATTGGCGCTGCTTGTGGGAAGTAGTTCAGAGCTGAAAGAGGTGCCGGCTTTGAAAGTGTCTCCAAAATGGACCCTCGGGGTCCACATCTCTGCCGACCTCTCCTGGTCAGCAAACACCACTGCTCTGGTCAAGAAGGCACAGCAGCGACTCCACTTCCTAAGGGTGCTCAGGAAGGAGCAACTGGACACGAACCTGCTGGTGACCTTTTATCGATCAGCCATCGAGAGCCTGCTGACCTACGCTGTGACAGTGTGGCACTCAAGCTGCACAGAGGCGGACAGAAAGAGACTGCAG